ATGTGTAACAGGTTACTCAGAAGATCTGTGTGCTGCTCCAGGCTCCTGCCTCAGTGCAGGAAGTCAGCTAGGGAGATCATCTCTCTGGTGCAAGAAAGGGACACAAGGGTCCCTTAGGTGAGGTAATAGGCTGAGGGAAGAGTCCTCTAGAAATACTCTGAAGACCAGAACAGCAATTGCACCCTCAGCCAGCTGACTTTACCGTTAAGCGACCATCTGGGTGATGGCACCCTCCTACCACACTGAAGTGTCCCAGTGGACACTCAACCAGCAACAAATCCAAGCTCATCAATGTAGTAAGCTGGCGTCAGGAACCTTGGGAGCCTGCTGCTGGCTCTTCATCTGCACTGCTGAGAGGCCTTCCTGGCAGTTGGCCCTCCAGACATAGGAAGCCAACCCAGGGAGCTGCTGCCCCTCCCCTCCCCAGTAGTAAGTAAACAGGAGTTCTTTTATGATGGGCACACTCCTTGGGCTCTGTTCTCCAGGTTGCTTTGAATGTAGTCTCATGTCATTATTATCAGTGGTCATCAGGCGTTTCAGCAGGAGTCATGGTTTTCCTCTGATGATGACAAGGTACTTGGTGTGTAGGCATAGGCTTGAACTCCAGGTGCAAACCACTCCAGAGGGGACGAAAGGCCACATTTGGTCTCTTAACTGGGCTGCAGACCGAGACCTTCCACATACTTGAGCACTGCCCCTGGGACTTGGCATGTCTCCCTGGACTGTGACAGCCAGTCTCATATACCAGCTTACTGTCCATTTGATGGATTCTGTCCTCTGCAGCTAAACGTCCAGGCACTGTGTGAGATCAAGTCTAGGAGTGCACATGACCTGCTGAGACTCAGAAACAAGATAAATCATAACAGAGGTTTAGGTACAGGGCTCCCTTGCACTCTTCCCAGAATAAACAGAGACTTCATGTGTGAGTTTGAATTTTTTGAAACTCTTACTTCATTGACTGGGTTCCTTCTGAGTACTGGGGTAGTATGCTCTAACTATGTGGTTTACTGATACAGACATTGTGCTTCCAGGCCTCATTGGCGTAGCCCAGCTTGATAACAAGTGTCAAGGAAATCTCAAACAAGACAGGCTAAGGGAGTTGGAGCCAGAAGATGGGTTATGTTCACGGGTGAGGGAAGAGTATGCCAGGCAGAGGAACAGTTTGTACATGGATTGAAGCACTGTGTATGCAAAAGGGAATGATGAGCAGTGTGGCGGATGGCAGGGGTCACCTGAACTCTTGTCCTGAGGGCGATGAAGTGGATGGATCACTCTGAGCTGGGCAGACCTGGGTGGCTGCACTTCAGTCCTTTGAGTTGTGGGGGAAGACAAGGGATTGCAAGTCCTGAGGTGCTGAAGTTCTGGAATGTTCTGAGATTGAGATCTCTTGGATTTGAAGAACTCTGAGGTGGGAGCAAGGACTCCTTTTTGCTTTGAGGCATAATTGCCTGAGTTATGGTGATTATCATTCCTTGACCCATACCTCGCTACCCCCTCTCCCCACCAGGAAATCCACCGTATCCCAGCCGCTTTGGCACCTAGGCATTGTAGTTTTTCATGGGACAACGCTACCCTGGCTGGCTGAACAAGCTTACCAGGTCTAGGAGTTCAACAGCACCCACCAGAATTCATGGTGGTCCTACGACCATCATTTCACTGTTGGTCCTGAAAAATTCTACATTTCTGAAAGTTCTCTGCTTTTCTCTGAACCCATAATCCTATCTAGTTCATGTCATTTTTAAACCCCTGCCTTCTCATGCCAGCCTCTTAATTCCACTTTGGGGGGTTCCACAAGAATCCAGGGTGAGGACAGTCTGACACCATCGGTCACCTATGGCTAAACAGAATGCAAGTACGTGGGAAATTTGTGCACACACCTCCTCCAACCCAACTCCCCCTTCCCCTCAGAATTGCCTAGGTAATGCCTGGACTTTTCCCACACTGGGAACTCAGCTGTTTTCTCCCTGAGTCCCCTCCCCTGGCTGCTCAGCCCCGCCTCTTGAGCAGCAGCTTCGCCAGTCTCTAGGCGACAGTCCTGGCACTGTCCCTTGTGCTGAAGCTGAGTTCCCCATGATGTCAGTTCCGGGGAGGGCTCAGGGCATCCCCAGCCCTCCCATAGATGTCATATTTTGCCACTCTCCTTTGTCCACTTATCCCATGTCAAAGCCTGCATCTCTCACCCAGTGTCTCACAGCTTCCTGCATTGCCATCGTCCCTCTGCCCTATCGCCCCAGTTCAACCACCCCCTCTGACATCACTGCTCAGGCTTCCTGGCACTTTGTTCTCCCTGCTTCCTCGAGCTCGCTCTTCTCCAGTCTCTGCACCAGCCTTCAATTCAGGTCTTCCACCAGGCTCACTCCTTGTTTCTGTGCTTCTGGACCATGTGGGGCTAAAGAATAAGTTTACTTGAGCCTAAGAATCCTGAGGCCAGCTTGCACTACAAAACCATCTAAGACAGGCATAGTCTGGCTAGGCATTTGACTACAGCAACAAGAAAAGCAAAGGAGCTGGGCAATGATGGCACACTGCCTTTAATCCCAGCACTCCGGAAGCAGGTGGGTCTCTTGAGTTCTAGGACAGCAGGGCTACCTGGAGAAACCCTTTCTTGACAAAGGGGGGGGGAGTGAAAGTAGGAGGATCAGCCTGGGCTACATAGTGAATTTGAGGTCAGCATGAACTATGTGAGAGCTTATCTTGTCTCAAAAAGTAACCAATACAAGACTGGAGCGATGGCTCAACAGGTTCTAGTCCCGTTATCCGCATGGTGGCTCACTCCCTCCATAGGCATAGCATGTATTCAGTGCACAGATGCTTTTCAGGTAAAACATACATAAAAATTTTAAGCCGGGTGGTGGTGCACATCCTTATCCCAGTGGTAGGAAGAGGCAGGTGGATCTCTCTTAAATTTGAGGCCAGCCTGATCTACAGATTGATTTCTGGGCCAGCCAAGGCTGTATGGAGAGACCCTGCCTTGAAAACAAACAATTTTAAGTAGCTGCTTTGGATTCTAGGGAGATGGATTAGTGCACTAAGGCGACAATCTGAATTTGACTTCTGGGACCCGTATGATGAGAGAACAGATTTTTATTATTTATTTGTTTGTTTTGAGATAGGGTTTCTTTGTAGCTTTGGAGCCTGTCCTGGAACTAGCTCTTGTAGACCAGGCTAGTCTCGAACTCTCAGAGATCCTCCTGCCTCTGCCTCCCGAGTGCTGGGATTAAAGGCTTTCGCCACCACTGCCCGGCGAGAGAACAGATTTTTAAAGTTTTCCTGACCTCCACAAGGGTGCTGTGGCAAGTGTGTGGGTACGTGTACACTCACCCACCTAAATAATGTAAAATTTTAAGAATGACTGACCTGTACCACTAGCACTTTGAGTGTGGAGGGGGATAGTAGACATGAGGATCAATGGGGCTTGCTGCCTAGCTTCACGTTCAGTGAGAGACTGTCCCAAGTGATTAAAGTGGAGAGTAAGCTGGGAGGTGTTAGTGTTTAATCACAGCACTCGGGAGCAGGTGGATCTCTGAGTTCGAGGCCAGCCTGGTCTACAAGAGCTAGTTCTAGGACAGGCTACAAAGCTACTATGTCTCAAAATAACAAAAACCAACAAATTGGACAGTAATAGAGCACATTGGGCATCCTTTAGCCTCTGCTCTTACACAAACACAAGGGTCTTGAATATGCTGGGTAAGTACTGTATCACTGAGTGATGCCTCAACTTTGGTGTTCTGAGGCATTCTCACTAACCGCATCCCCACAACCCCTGGAAACTTGTTCTTTAGCCTTTTTCATGGGGGAAGACTCGGGAAAGTAGCCCTGCCCAGAGCTGTTTCCCCATAGCAGCTCATTGGGAATGTGGGACGATGGTGCCCTCTGCTGGTAGAGGTGACATCAGCTTTATGTGGACATTCCTGTTTAGGGAGAGGACTGACATGGGAAAACATGAGCATACACACACACACACACACACACACCTCACACGGTGGGAATAAAGTAATGGTGGGGGATGAGTCCCTGGGCTTTAGGGTTTTTTTTTTTTTTTTTTGGTAATGCTAGGATTCCTTTGAAAAAATGGCTGGAGCTCTTGGTGTATGAAGCTCTTGACTGTATGCTGGGTCTTTCTGTAAGCTCTTTGAATTAATCAATGAGCCGTGCCTCTAATCCCAGCACTCAAGAAGTAGAGGCAGATCTCTGTGAGTTTGAGGCTAGCCTGCTCTACTACTGAGTTTCAGGACATCCAGGGCTACACAGAGAAACTCTGTCTTGAAATTAAAAAAAAACAAGCAAAAAAAATGAATGAATGAAAATAATAAACACAGAATGACAGAGGCTAGTTAGGACTATGTGTATGAAATACATGTGCAGAAATATATCCATAGCCAGTCATGCTGTGTCTGTCCGTGTTGTGTGTATGTGTGTGTATGCTAGGGGTAGAACCCACAGACTTATGCATGCCCGACAGGAAGCTTTTATTTTACCTAAAATTGTAAAGTTGTTGTTGTTTTGTGTGTGTGTGTGTGTGTGTGTGTGTGTGTGCACCACTCCCTACCTGCCTGGTCAGAGGAGGGCATCAGATTCTCTGGAGCTGGAGTTACAGGTGGTTGTGTGTGCTGGAAAGTAAATCCATGCTGTGCAAGATCAACAAGTACTCTTAGCTGCTGAACCCAAAGATGTGCAACAACAGGCCCATCTCAGGGTTTTGCTTCTCTAGGTAACCCAGCCTGGCCAGAAACTCACTGTGTAGTGTTGGGTCTGTTCTCTGACTCCACACAATCCTTTTTGCTCAGCCTCTCAAATCTTGGAATTCCTGGTGAACACCCCCACCCCTGAGACAGGGTTTCTCTGTCTAACAGTCCTGGCTGTCCTGGAACTCCCTTTGTAGACCAGGCTGGCCTTGAACTCACTGAGATCCACCTGCCTCTGCCTCCCGAGCAGTAGAAAAAAAAAAAAACGTCTTGGAGTGTTTTAGAATTACATTTATTATGTGTCCGCACACGCGAATTTGCAGGAATCAGTTCCCATTTTTGTGGGTCCCAGAGATTTAACTCAGGCCATCGGGTTTAGCAGTAATCTAAACTTGCCATCAGGAAGTAATACATCCCTGAGCAAGGGTGTTTTAGGCATCGGTTGCCATAGCTCCCTGTAGCTTCCCGGTCACATGATGCGAGGCAACATGGCGCTGTCCACGGTGGCCTCATCCCACGTGTTTCCAGGACCGAAAATGGCGGCGGCAGGCAGTCCCGCTTCGCTTGAGTCTGCTCCACGAATCCTGCGGCTGGTGTCTGAGTGCAGTCGTTCCAGAGCCCGGGCAGGCGAGCTGCGGCTGCCGCATGGAACTGTTGCCACTCCTGTGTTCATGCCTGTGGGAACACAGGCCACCATGAAGGGGATTACGGCGGAGCAGCTGGAGAGCCTGGGCTGCCGCCTCTGCTTGGGCAACACCTACCATCTGGGGCTGAGGCCTGTGGGTGGACTCGATCCGGGGGCGGCGGCGAGGGGGCACCGTGACTGGGCTCCGCCCGGGTCTGGCGAGAGCTGCGGGCTATCGCCTAACTTGGCACTTGGTTCTGGTATCCCAGGGTCCGGAGCTGATCCAGAAAGCCCAGGGTCTTCACGGCTTCATGAACTGGCCTCACAATCTGCTGACAGTGAGTTGGGGTCGCTGCCCTAGGGTGCTGCGTTGTCGTGAGAGGTCCCCAATCTCCATCTCCTGACAGCTTCTCGGCGTGGTCTCTCTCCCAGGATAGCGGCGGCTTCCAGATGGTGTCCCTGTTCTCCCTGTCCGAGGTGACTGAGGAGGGCGTCCGCTTCCGCTCGCCCTACGATGGCCAAGAGACACTTTTGAGCCCAGAGAGGTCTGTGGAGATTCAGAACGCTCTGGGTAAGAAAACCTTATTGTTTCACCTTGCCAGTAGCCTCAGGGCATCGGCCCCGCAGGTGGTTTGGGAAATCTATAAATTTGAACTCATTCACCCAGCTAAAATAAGGATAAAGAATAGGTCCTGTGCTAGGCATGTTTGCCAATGCCCTGGACTAGGTCCCCGGCACAGCGAACAGACCAAAACAAAACAAACACTTGAAAAAAATGTATGTGGTGGCAGCTTAGCGGGTTCCAGCCCTGCCTGGGCTACACAGTGAGAACCTGTTTCCTTCTCTGACTTGTGATATCTGTAGTGTAAACAAAGTACTAGATATGTAGTTGTCCTTTTTGATTTGTTTTTGTTTTATATTTGGTATGCCCAAATTCACGAAGTCCCAGCAAAAGCCAACAAGGAGACTGAGTCCCATATGTAAAAGCAAAGAGCCTTTATTTTAATCAAGTTTGCAAACTTGGTCTTTCCGCATGTCCAATGTATTGGAATAACTGGAGATCCCTGAGCTCAGTTAGATTTAGGTTTTTATAGTAGTAAAGGTGGGGGTGAGGGGTTTCTGAGGTTTTAGGACCCCTGATTGGCTGACATTTGTCTAGGGGTGTTCTGGTGAGTGTGTTCTGGCAGTTGATCCTATCTACAGAGAGGTTGGAACCTTAGGCATTTCCTTTGAATGGTCTGTTCTTGGGTGGAGGTCAGGTAATCTCAGCTTGTGGTTCCTCCTGCAACCAGGCATTGTTTCAGGGTAAACTACTGAGACTCAGGCCTCTTATTAAATCAGAGTTCTACTCTGGCAGGATAATGGTTGGAAGTAAAGAACTTCCTTTGGGTGACCTGCCTCCTCCATATCCACAGCCAAACACCACCATGCCCAGTTTTCTTCAGAGCTGGGGCTCAGAGCCAGGCAGGGCTCTTTGCACACTATATGATGAGCACTCTGCTTCCTGAGCTGGATCTACAGTCCAGGACAATTTATATCGTTTACATTTTGCGTGATGCTGGAGCCTTGACACGTGAGCTCCAGCTCTTCTCCTTTGTCCATCCCAGTCTCTGTCCCAGAGCCTTCTTATGGAAACTGTACCTGTTATGCTAAGTGGAGCCTGCCCAGCTGTGTGACAGGTGTTTCTTTGGGTCCGTCTACTGATCTTAGGACAAGGCTGTTCTCCTGGTGTGGTGACATCATGGCCAAAAGCAACTCGGGGAGGAAAAGTTTATTTCCTCTCCCAGGTTTTAGCCCATCATCAAGGGATTCTAGGCAGGGGCTCTACCATTAGGCATTGCCCTAGTTCTTGATTTTAGACACAGGGTGGTCTCCCTATGCTGTGCTGGCTGCACTGAAGCTCAGGATCCAGGTTCTCTGAAAGAGCAGCCAACCCTCCAATCCCCAGCCTCAGGCTCCTGATTCTTCCTTCTCCACCTTCTGAATGCCGGGATCACAGTCCTGAACCACCACACAGGTATGGAACCTGTGTCCTTGTGTGTGCTAGACAATCAGTACACCCACTGAGCTATGGCCCCAGGGTCCAGAACATACTTTCAATAGTTCCCTGTAAAACTGGGTATCGTGCAGGTAGCGGCAAGGGGTTTGGAAGTTGGAGAACAGTCTGGGATCCATGGTGATAATTTGCAGGGGTCAGTCTCCTCTTTC